TTCAGATATATGTTGCAAGTGTTTCATCTGTTTCGGACGTATGTTGCAAGTATTTCATCCGGATGTTACTCAAAAGTAGATCGGGTATTGCATATGTTACAATGCGCATGAGAAGGGGAGAGGGCGCGAGCGGTCCTTGCACGTGGTCTGGCAGCGCGGGCCTCGCGTGGGCGGGTGAAATACAGGCTTGGGCGGGGGCGTGCTAACCTGAGCACGGGAAACGAAGTGCAGCGCGGGCGTCTGTCCGGACGTCTGGGCGCTAGCACTGCCGGTATAGTATATAAGAAAAATCTTTGGAGTCTCCTAAAAGAACCTGAGTCTATTATTTCAGTATATGGATATATGTTTCTTATTTCTCCTTCCTTGTTCATCCCACCGTCGCCAGCCTTAGGGATGAATGACAATGAATTTATATACCCAACGGGGTATCCACGAAGAAACCATGTGAGAATGCAATTTTATGTCCATATCCGTACCTATGTGGGTAGTGAGCACCCACAGGTTCTCTATAGTAGCACCTAGAAAAATGTAACACATGCATTAAACTATAACTATATGAACAAATAATAGAACAATAAATCTGGAAGAAATGTAATATAAAAATGATATATACTGCTCTTTCTATATGGCACTAGGTTGCTAGTTGGACCATGGTTTGGAGTATATTAGGTCGGGGATGACTTCGAATTATTGTTGCATATCAAGTATATACATACACATGGGTTTATGCATTAGTGCAAAACCATACTTGTACCGACGAACCTAGTGGGTAAGGATTTTTGCCCATTAAGATACCCTTGGGTAAGTAAATTAGCCCACACCCATACCCTAATGAGGTTAAAATCCATTATGCTTCATGTCATGGTACCTATATTGTCATCTCTACTCTTCAGAGACACCGTGCACTAACATGAGGCATTGTGGTCCATTGGCCCCCTCCTGCACCCTTGGTGAATTGAAATCTCCTTGCACCATTCCTTTCCACCATCGGTCCTCAATGTTCGGTCTTCGTTCTCCTATGTAATTAATATTGGTGAGGATTGGAGCCCTCCTCCGGCTTGCCTAAATGGTCATTTAGCCTGTTTGAATGTTGCGTAAATGCTATATAGTGGTAGGCTGTTTCCATTTGTTGGCCGTCAATCACATTTAAACATTTGTTAGACTAAATCATGGTAAATATGATATGTGACGTATAGTTCAGCATTTAGGTATTACCCGTTACCGTCGACAAACCCTAATCTCTATTGCTCCCCTATCTTGCACCCCCTAGTCCACTCTCACCCTCTCCCTTAATTAATTAACCCACACTCCATCGATGTGAGGTCGTCATAGAAAGTGTGTGTGTGTGTGTGGCGAGGACGAACATTAGGGTCAATCCGAGCTAGTCAGGGTGTCAAATCTTAAAAATCTCACGGATGCCAATTTAGAAATTTCTTGTGTGTAAAAACAGAATGAATTTGGGTTGTTTCCGAGTGACGACTGATAATTTGATTCGTCCATATCTTGGTTAGGACAAACATTTCTATAGAACAAGGCAAATTTTGTTGGAGGACACCGCAAAAAAGTGTGATTGGCCGGCGCACACCGCAACGGCGAGTCTTTGCCCAGTACCATTACAAATTCGTGGTTATTTGCCGGTGGACACCGCGCTAAATATTTTATTCATTTCTTAGTTTTGGGGAGAGAGAAGGTGAGGAAAATGACTTTGTTGCCCTCGTCTTCAACCTCCAGCCGTGCACTAATTTTTTGCCATAACATACCGCCGCCGCCTTGTCTTCTCCGACGAGGTCTTCCATGGCCGGCGATTTCGTTCTTCCGTCCTCACGCAGCCGCGACGCATCCTCGCGCTCGCCCAGTTCCCTGCTCGCGCCGTCACCCTCCTGCCTCTGCCCAGGCTTCCTCCTGCCTTCCTGGCTTCCTCGGTTCCTCCGCCCTCCGCCCAGGCGTGTCGCGCCACGCGCCTCACCCTCCGGATCCGCGCTCTACCGGGTGCCAGCGGTCGGCAGCCACCGGCCAGGCGGCCAATCGGGAACCGGCCACAAGCAGAGCTACTCAAGGTGACTAGATTGCCCCCTGCTCAGCTCTGCTGCCCCGTGCTCAAGGCGAGATGCGACTATGCGAGCCGCGACTCCGGCGTCAATAGAAGCAGCAATGACGAGCAAGGCAACTAGCGGCAGGTGTGACATCTCCCCCGCGCTGAGCGGCAAGGCAAGGTGCGGCTCCAGTGGACCAGGCAAGGTGCAGCTCCGGCTGCGAGGCGAGGTGTGGCTCCGGCGTGTGCGGCTTGGTTGGGGCTAGGACAGGGCCTAGGAGGCTCGGGCGGCTGGCTAGCAAAGGCGCAGCAGGGAAAAGCGCCAGCGACACCAGGCCGCGGCCGCAGCTCACGGCAGAGGCAAGTGAAGGCAGTGGTGGTGTGATATGGCAAAAATCAGTGAATAGCTAGAGGTTGAAGACGAGGGTAACAAAATCATTTTCCTCACATTCTCTCTCCCCAAAACTAAGAAATGAATAAAATATTTAGCGTGGTGTCCACTAGCAAATAACCATAAATTTATAATGGTACTGGACAAAGACTCGCTGGTTGCTGTGGTGTGTGTCAGCCAATTACACTTTTTTACGCCAGCAAAATTTGCCATAGAACAATGATGGAGTCGTGATTTTGTATGGAGTGGTCCGTACGAACTCCCATCAGCATATGACTATATGAGGCCATGTATCAGATGATGCGCGCGATCAACAGGGGGAGATCTCTCTCTCTCTCTCTCTCTCTCTCTCTCTCTCTCTCTTGGTCCTGCTGTCCGCGCGCGACGACAGGCACGAGAGCAGCACAACGTGCGTATATGCCGGTCACGGGGCTCCAGTCGCACAGGATCTCGCGCTAAACTGTTCTATACTCCAAAAGGGAATTGGAGGCGTCTTCATCGTCTGTCTTTTTCACTTGCATTGGCTACCACCACCCCCTGACCCAGCTGAGAGAAAGAGAAGCGATCTGCATGTAGCAGCAGGGGCCGATCCAAGCTGGGCATGCATGCATGTAAAAGCACGAAAGCGTCAAACAGTGAAAACAGACAGGTAAATAGTTGTCACCGCGACGACAGGTCTCGACAGCAGACCCGTCCTCAGTGTTCATACGATCAGAGCACACGAACTTGCATTGTTTCCGGAACGTGCCGTGCCGATCGATGAAATTACACACACGCATGGCGCTGTGCATGGTCAGCGAGTTAGTTGTCTGGTACTCGTACTTGCATTGCTAGCTACACACTGTGAAGGTAAATTGTTCACGTACGGTCCACGGAGCTCATGCTGCACTCCGGCGGGCTCTCTTGTTCACATGCACGGGCACGTCTTACCATATTTGCCGAATCCGAATCTATGTACCGTACTCCTGCTGTCACAAATTATCTGTCCCTTAAGTTCAACTCGATTTATAGAAAATACGTGCAACATTTATATCTCCAAATAAATTTATTAAAAACTAGACTCAAAGATATTTCCAATGATATCAATTATATACCATAAATATTAATATTTTTAATGTACATTTTGTCAAAGTTGTTTCTCGAGAAATGAAAACGACAGATATTTTAAGAATGAGGGAGTAGGTAGCAGGAGTAGAGATGACAAAGACGTTTGGAAGCCTCCCTTGTCCAGTCCTCCTTAACACGCGAAGGAGAAGATGTCGATCCAGAAAGAAAAAAGATAACTTGTCATGTTTACCTTTGGGATTGGGAAAAGAAAGAAGCCGAACTGGTCCGGGCCCACATGCCACTGAGATGGCACCGCGCTAGTGACTAGTGACTAGTGAGCAGTCTCAGACTTCTGAAGCAATGCTTGAAGATCCAATCAACAAAGATGGTGCTTTTTCTGCCCAAAAGGAGGGGGCAAGGACTAGTCATCCTAAGCAAGCTTCACTGGTTCCAACGCAAGCTGAAAAGAGGAGCACAAGACTTGGGGAAAGCACCACCCCGATGCTGGAGAAAGCTGCAAGGATCAAGGCCAGAAAGAATCTGCAAGGTATATCTAACAATCCTTATACTATTCTTCAATCTGTTAGCAATTATCATTTAGCCAAAATAGCAGAAGAATGTAATTTAGATTTAGGTAATGATGAAGGTGAAATTGATGGGCTGATTGATATTCTGAAAGCTAAGGAGTGAACAAGATGCAGTGACAGTGGAGGAGGTGATTGATACTGAGGATGAGGGCCCTGAGGGACATACTGTGATAGAGGACATCTCGCTCGCTCCTGTTCAAGCTAGCTAGCGAGCTACTCCGATCCAGGGCATGTTTATATGCTTCCTTGTTTGAACCTTGGAGCAGGCCAGGCTTGCATGCACAACATAACATGCACGCGAGCTGATGCGTGAGCGACGCGCAGCCAAAAGCACAGTTCCAAACGAAAGCGGCCAAGCTCGATCAGATCAGATCAGATCAGTTCATGTTCATCCATGGTGGTGGTGGGTCACTCAGCGATCATCCATGGATGCATCCACAGTCGTTCGCCACCGGAACCGCGTCGTCCCACCCATATATGTCCCATGCATCCACAGATCAGATTGATCGAAAAGAGAGAGGAGGTGGAGAAAAAAGCTGGTGGGCAATATATATGTAAGCAATAGTGCTGGAATAAACGAACGGAGTAAGCAGCATCACGCACACACGGACCGACGACCCTAGGTACATCCAGCACCAGCAGCAGCAGCAGCAAGAGGAGGTTCACCACGCACATGCACGCCTGTGCCTGTGCCTGCCTGCATCACTGCACGACCAAGCAACTAACAAGGCTTTCATCCATTGATTAGTAGACCATGCCATGACATACTCTCTTTAAGACTTTAACCATACGACGATACAGCTAGCAGGCAATGCAAGCAGAGATATAGCAGCAGGTTCTTCATTCTTCACTGGGGTTTGGATCGGATCTTGTTGATGGACGGATCGGAGATCGACCAATTACAAGAGACGGTGGCGAGCGAGGCGGAGTAGTGGATCGATGATCAGGCGAGGAGCTCGGCCTTCTTGACCTTGGAGATGCTCTCGAGGACGCCCGCCGGCGACACGTGGCCCATCACCGTCACCTTCTTGCTCTCTAGGTCGATGCTGAACGACGTCACCCCTGCAGCACGTATAGTAGTCACCACCGTCATCATTATTATGGCCCGGTTCGCTTTGCTAAAAAATCATGACTAAAAATATTGTTCGCTTATTAGTTGTGAAAAAAAAAACACTATTCGTTCGCTACTCCATGCGCCGTCAGTAAAAGGGTTAATGAATGCATCCATGAACACACGACACGACGACGACCCCTCTCTCTCTCTCGCACAGTCTGAGTCAAGTGTTGCATGCAGAGTCTGAGTGGGAAGGCGTACCTGTACGTGCAGTACAAGCACGTGAACGGTGCCTGTCTACGTACGTACCGTACGCGCGTCGTCACAATACGCTACGCTTCGAAGTCCGGACTGGACACATACGCCTATGGGCAGGGGCCTCTAGTACTCGTGTTTGCTTAAGGCCTTGTGTACGTTGGATGCATACGTATCTATTTCAATCCATATATGTTGGAGTGGATTAGAATAGAATTTAGTTTAATTCCACTTCAATCTACTCCAATACATATGAATTGAGACGAATACATGTTCATGCAAACAAGGCCTAATATTATGCTGCTGTCCCATGATGGATGGATGGATCTGAATCTGCTACGGAAAAGGTGGTCCATTCATCATGTGGCAATCAGCTTGTTGATCAAGCTAGCTGCCAACAGTACGTACTGATGATATATCCGTTCCTGGGCACTTGGGTACGTACAATGTCCTACTCCAAATCTACGGATTGGGGGGGTTGTTACCAACAAGACCTACTAATAGCCTGCTGTCCTCATGCATTAGGCGACCCGATCATCATCATCACTTGTATTTCTGCACTTACATGATCAGGGGGCCGTCGACGTCGTCATCCACGGCTACTGGTAGTCAGCTACCTTATGTGTTGACCATTAATTTATAAGCCTCTGTAGTAGTGGCGGTGTTCAACTATATGCCCTCATGCAGCAGCTGGGTTTTGTTGAGTAGTGAAATGACGATGCGTTTCTTGGATCCGGTCTCGCTACGTACGGCGTGTGCATAGGCGCATATGATATGCATGCATGTGACGAATGGACGTCTCTGTAGCTACTACTAGCTAGCTCCCACCGTACCCACGCAGGAGGCGTCAGCACTCGACCACATGTACGTACTGGTGGGCCGTCGTGGCCGCCGGCCGGTCTACACGGTGGACCGCGTCAAATGCCGAGTAGGCGTGTCGTCTCCCTCGCTCTGCCCCCGCCCCGTGACGGAGAATCCGACGATCGGGCGTTTGGCGCAAACGGCCAACCGCCTTTCTCAGCTCTACCGTGGTCCCACTTTATTTGAAGCTAGCTAGCTAGTTTGAACATGCAGCAGTACATTCATGCATGCATGCATGCAGATGCAGCCCGTCGAGTCGAGCGATGAAAACTTGTACAAGTGGCTTATTGGAAATATATACGTACGTGCAGTATGTATATGTGCCAAGAGAACATATACATACATACATACATACGACGAGGATCGTACACGTACCTTCCATCTTGGAGATGTGCTTCCTGACTTTGCCTGCGCAGCCCTGGCAGTGGATGGCCACCTTCATCACCACCACCTACACACACATGTAGCAGTACCACGCACGGTAAGCAATGCAATGCAGTGACCATATTCTGTAACCACCAAGAACTGCACGCATGTAGTAAGAGCATGGAAAGATGTGGTAGCATGGTCCACTTGGAATAGTGGCCTCGATCTGTTAGCATCTCCAGTCACTCACTACTCTCTGTCTGCGACGAGGGGGCACGCACTTATCCCCCTCCTGTGCTCCTGCAACTGCAACGAGCTCTAGCTGCAATTCTGGACACGGATTTGGGTTTGGGTCTTGTTTAGATTGTAAATTTTTGCAATTTGGACACTGTAGCATGTTTCGTTTGTATTTGATAAACTTTGTCCGATCATGGACTAACTAGGCTCAAAAGATTCGTCTCGTGATTTACAACCAAACTGTGTAATTAATTTTTTTTATCTATATTTAATGCTCCATACATGCGTCTAAAAATTGATGTGACAGAGAGAGAATGAAAAAACTTAAAATTTTAATGCAATCTAAACAAGACCTTGGATTGGATTGGAGCCCTCCGCTCCACTCTCCTCGATCTGCTGCGACTGCAGTACGTGTGTGTGTGAGAGAGAGAGAGAGAGTAGACGGCCATGGAGATGCATCATGCATGGATGGCCTTTTCACTGTGCTCCCAGCACAAGTCCTCTTTGTTTCTTTATTTGGCGTAAATGCCGCTACTGTATCTCCTTACATCAGACGAATTTACTGCTAGTTGCCAGGCATAGTCGTAGTAGGCTGGACTAGAAGATTAATAAATGTGTAATTCCCCGGGCCCCGGCGGTATAAATAAATTTTGATTAGTCATGCCTTAACTACTATCTGCGCGAGAGTGAATTAATTACGGTTACGTTACGTACGCCCTCGTAATTCCAATATATCAATTTACATTGTATACTCCAGTCTCCAGGTATTATTTGGTAGCAGTAACAATTTCAGTTAAGCTAAGGCCCCGTACGTTTGGCACAGTTCAGCTTCACCATATAAGACTTTTTTTTTTTTGCAAAATAGCTTTATGAGCAACTTTTTTGTTGAAGCTGAGTTGTTTTGAAACATGTGTTTAGCAAAACAGCTTCACATGATGGAACAATGAATAGAATGACTATAACATAGGAAATGAAGTTGGGATAAGCTACCTTTTTTAGCTTCCTCTCAACTCATATCTCTGTGAGGGAAAGAGAAAAACAGCAAGCTGTTGTGAGCTGTGTCAAACAGACCCTAAATTATACCAATTTCGATTTATACTCATTGACTACTCGCTCAATAGATCCATCTATCAATCAATAATTAGCTTTTGATGAGCCTCCTGCGTATATAATGCGGATCGGATAACTTGCCACGCACGAACCGTATGTTTATCTCTATTACTAATGGAATTGCAACGCTGACGGCGGCCCACCATGAGACGGAGCACGTCAAAGAACAGAGACATAAGCCGGCCTCCTACTAGGGGTGTGTATGTGGCTGTTAAAAAGGAAGGTTAACTTTTGGCTATAGATGGATGGTACTCGTAAGCAAGCATAGGCATGCATCTTGTGCTTCTATGTAATCTACTCCTTCTGTTTCAAATTATAAAAACTAACCAAAAAACAACTAACAAACTACATTACAATTTGAAATGGAATGCAATGGAGGGAGTAATTATTCTTAGCTGTGAATTTTGGAAAGACGGTAACTGAAATGATCAGATATACCTGGCTACTCCAAAATTAGCAGTAGAATAATAATATACTATAGATATAATATATTAATACTGCTGTCTTATACTAGCAACAGCAAAGCAAAGGATCGGAAACGAGGGGCGCGCGCGTCCGTCAGTTATTACTAACGTCACGTACCTGGAGCAGCTGGTCGCCGGGCGCCGCCGCGACGGCGGCGGCGGCCTGCACGCGCTTGGCCGCCGCGGCAAGGTCCTTGGGCGGCGCCTCCTTGCTGGGGCTCTTGGTCACCATGGGCAGCGTCACGGCCACGGGCGCACGCGTGGCGGCGCGACGCTGCCTCTCCACGCGCGGCTTGCATGACGCGCTAGCAGAAGCAGCAGTCGCAGCCGGCGGCGCAGCAGCAGCCCTGGGCGCCGCGAACCGCCGCGACGACGTGGAGTGGCGCTGGCGGCCGCCGTCGTTGCCGGCGCCGCCGAGGCGCGCGTACCTGACGTCGTGCAGGACGCGGCGGGCGTCGTCGTCGTCGGCGGCCACGATGGTGCGGTCGGCGCGCCGGGCCACCACCATGGACCGCGCGTCGCCCGGCACGCACACCGCCGTCGCCGCCTGCGACCGGCACAGCATCCCGCCCGCCCTCATCTTGCCGCCGCCGCCCGCCTTCCTCTCCTTCACTGCGCCCAACACGGCACAGAACGTACACGCGCGCGCACGCACGCCAAGGACAGAAGATAGAGCAGATGGAGAAGCTTGTTCTTGATTGCTTTGCGACAGAGAGCGAAGGGATTTATGTTTATCCAAGAGAGAAGAGAGAAGAGACAGACGAGAGGGAGGAGTGTGACGGAGAAGAGAGGGCTGCTCGGTGGGAGCTTAAAAAGAAGCGGTGGGACTGAGGAGGAGGAGGACAAAGGAGATGGAATCACGGTGGAATTAATGGGGGGAGTTTTTTTGTAAGCTCTCTCCCTTTCTCTCTCTAGCTTTTCTCTCTCGCGCCCGCCGCTTCTGTTGTAGCGTTGCGTCGCCGGTGAGACAAGGTTCCGAATTATTGCCCGGGCCGGGCCACCAGATGCATCAAGGAAGGAGACGAGCCTGCTGCCGCGTGCTGCCTGCCCTCTCTCTGCTCTCTCGTCTCTGCGGCAGGCAGCCAGGCAGGTGCGCCGCGACGACGACGACGACGACGACGAGATTGGTGCGGGCCGGAACGGGCCTCATGGTCTCTCTCGCGCGCGCTTTGATCCGCCCGGCATGCACGTAGCTGACGTCACCCCCCTCCCAAGCTGAGCGACGCACCTTTTACCACACGACAGGTTGGCGGGCTCTCTCTTTTTGTGGATCGTAGCAAACAGCAAACAGATGCAAGAGTTTTGGCCGTTTGGGGATGTCCTAAATCAAGTGGAGCACGGTGGGTCACGGTTGCTTGGAATTAAGCCTTGCAGCAACAGTAATGAATGCTTACTTAATACTTCCTCCGTTCCAAATTATAAATCGTTCCGGCTTTTCTAGATACATCATACAAGTTATGTACATGTATATGATGTATATCTAGATGCATAACAAAAAAATTATGTACCTAAAAAAGCCAGAACGACTTATAATTTAAAACAGAAGGGAGTATATTTTTAGCGGCCAGTCCAACTTCTAGACGAAGTATATATATGCCCGTCAAACGTAAATAGATAAACCATTACTTTATATGTAGCCTACTAACCTTTAGAACAATGTATTTACAAGAAAAACCTAAATGCTCATTACTATATCCTCCCCAATGTCTTTCACCAAAGATGGACGGTTTACTAGGCGGCCATAGAACTTACCAGATGAGCAATGTACGTCGCCAATTGTTTCTCAAGAGGGCTGAGAAGAGCTCTCTAATTGTACCATGTATCATGCTTAGTGCATTTGGATTGCATTGCCACCTGTATTCTTGTTGCGATCAATATCAGCTAGGTTTTACACGCCATACTGATTACCATGTGACTTCGATCTGCAACTTCAAACAGATGTAAGAGGTTTGTGGTTTTATTTCCGCCCTCTACAGACCTATGTAGACTCCTTGTTGAAATCGACCATGACTTGTCTTGGTCAAATGCAAACCATTCATTATATTGAAGTCTTACATCACTATAGCCTTTGTACTATGTTATAGGGCATTACACACATGTATGCTTAGTTCAATCTTAGTCGCCAGTCCAACATGTAGGCGAAGTATGCGTGTCTAGGATATTAATAAGCTAACGCTTTACGGGCTACCAACTTTTAGAACATTTTATTTGATATGTAAAACATAAGTGCTCATTACTATCCCCGCTATCTGTCACCAAAGTTGGGCGGTTACATACGTAGGCACAGAGCTCATCAGAAGAGCCATGCATGCACATTGCTCGTTGTTTCTTGGAGGGTTGTTGTCTTGTTGAGAAGAGTTCCAATTGTACCACGCATGCTTTGTGCATTTGGATTGCGATGCCACGACCGCTTCGGTAGCCACGAGTCCACGACATTCAAAGTAGCAAAATGGAAATTTATAACTAGAACTTTGTGACAAGACAAAGAAAAAATGGTAACCTCTTGCCTTATTTGCTATCAGACTAAACAGACTTAATCATGCTTGTCCAATTGAACAAACTCAATAGAAGAAACCGAGTCCCCGATTAGACTAGTGCACTACTAGGTAGACTCGAGCTCTAATTTCTATCCCGTTGTGACCATCGGGCTAGGCTTGGGCTCCAAATATGTATTTGACCTGAAACCCAAGCTGAAAACGCACAAGGCCAATAACATTGGATGCCGGCCGCTTACAAATTTCATCGGGTTTTTGAAAACTTAACTTGACTTGGATAATGTATACATATCAATAGGAAAATTTATATATATTCCCATGTGAGGGATCCAAGAAAGTTTGCACCTTGTTCCATCCAATGCTAAAGTTCTACAAAGACCATGTGGGAATATGCATAGGCTCAATAGGTGGAACATCAATGTCCAAGAACTTTGTCAATGCAACTGTATTTTAGGCACAAAGCTAGGGAAATGTACAACCCCATAAATTTCCTATCATTTATTTTTCTATAGTGTGGAATATATGATTTAATTTGTTGAACTTAAGGTAGTAACCTTGCTTGCGTATGAGTTATCATTGGACTCCTCTTTGATTTTGGCGTGAAGATTGTCCACATGGAACATTCCTCACCACCAAAAATTTTCTACTTCAGCAAAGTACATGTGCTCCATGCTCCTCATTTTACATAGAAAATTGTTAGATATAAAGGTACACATTATTTTTTAGATGAAAAATGTTTGACAAGGAAAAAAGTTTTAAAAACTATAAAAAGTTTTTTCGAGAAAATATTTTTATAACATCCACAAAACCTATTTTTAATGTTTTAAAACAATTTTCTAATTAAGGTTCACAAAAGAAAATTCTAATTTCTTGTCTACAAAAAACTTGCATGAATAACACTTCATTAATTTTTTCTTACAATGTTTTTAAAATATAATTAGCTAAAAACTAAAGAAAGAACATAAAGAAGATTGGGATTTTCCATTCTCTGCATTAGATCAAGGAGGAAGACTTCTTTGTTGGATTTTTTACCTTGATTGGGTAGAGCACGACTAGTTTTCATCAAATGCATTTATTCATGATATTTGAGCCTTGTAATACTACCCCCAAATAGATGTAGGGGTATGGTTTTTTGTGTTCATTGTTTTTTTGTCCAAAATCAATTGGAACATAAACACTCTTGGTCAAATGCATTCATTTATTATATTCAAGTCTTGTAGTGCCATAGCATTTGTACTAAGTCATAGGACGTTATGCAAGTATGCTTAGTACAATCTTAGTGGCCACTCAAACAAGCATGCGAAGTATGCGTGTCTAGGTTAATAAATTGAAGGTTCACTAGCTTCCAACGTTTAGAATAATGTATTTAATATGTAAAACATAGATGTTCATTACTGTCCCCGCTATTTAGGGGGGGGGGGTGTTTGGCACGGCTCCTCTTGAGGGGCTCTTCTAGAGGAGCCAGAGCTATTTTGGAGGAGCCACAATTTGTGGCTTCTCTAAAATAGCTCTGACTCCTATGCTTTTTACTGAAAAACGGCTCCTCTAGGAAAACATTTGGCAGGGCTCCTGAACTGGAGCCAGGGAGGAGCCTTGCCGAACAGGCCCTTAATTTGTCACCAAAGATGAGCGAGGGTGTATGTAGGCATAGATGACAAAGGTGGAACCAGAATTCGAACATTGGAGGGCCATTCAAGCCGATAACAATCAATCATGATTGAGCTCATACATGGCAATGATATTAGATAATAACCAAATAAACATTTATTTCATGGTTAAAAAACTAAAAATAAAAAGTTGAATATTACAAAGAAAAAGGAACAAAATTTTTACTATTCCTAAGTCTTTAACCTCCACCTGATCAATCTATTTTTTTAAAAAAGAATCACGGTAATTAAAAGAACAAAGTAGATGAGAAAGATAATAGAAAGACTAATCCTAAATAATTTAGATGTCATAGGAGAAAGCATATAATAGAAAGACTAATCCAGAATTGATATTTTCTCATCTACTTTGTTCTTTCTCTTATTTTCTCATATTCTAACACAATATGCAAGTTGATATTTTCCTATTATATGCTTGTCAACTACATGGTTTACCAATTGTTCTATATTCTTTTCCATTCCAATTCATAGTTGTCCACTTTGGATTGCACCTTCATGTGTGTTTGACATATGTCTAGTTGAAACTACCTTTGTTGTGTTTATATTGTAACACCAATACTTGTAAACACATTGATTTTCTTTATCCCACCGTGGTAGCCTTTGGTTCCAAGTACTTATTGTTTCGTCTATCTAGACAGGTGGGTCTCACTTAATAAAAAATAAAAGAAAATATACTATTTATGATGATCTAATGGCTTAGATTAAATAAAAAAGTCCATGGCTACTAAAATTTATAAGTGCCACATTAATCGAAGAAATAAAAAAGAATCTACATCCTTGAATTTTATGATCATATAATGGCTTAGATTAAACCTAAGAATTCATGCCTTATACAATTAATAAATAGTAAATTACATGGTCGTACATTAAAAGGTGAAAAAAATTATGGATCATGGAAAAATAAAAAGGAGAAGTTTGTGCTATATGCTACTACTAAAGAAAAATAGTGTTTCTTTTGTCTTGACAGGCAGGTCTCCACTTAACCAAAAAAGTAAAGAATATATACCATTTATGATAATCTAATAATGGCTTAGATTAAACCAAAGAGTCCATATCTAAATATTAATAGTTACCACATTAATAAAAGAACCACATGAATAAAAAACATAGAAGACCCTAAATTATTTTTATTTTATGATCATGTAATGGCATAGACTGTAGACCATACAATCCATGCTTTATAGAATTAACAAAATAGAAATTTGCAATAATGAATTGAATAAAAATAGCAATTTGATTTTCATAGGATTTAGATAAAATATGATAAATTAATTGTTTGTCCATGTAAAGCATAATTACTAAAGCTAAGGTAATAAAATTTAGAAAAAATATGACAAATTAATAGTTTATCTCCAAAAAAATTGGGAGGAGAAAATGTATAAATGAATAGTCCATATAAATTGGAATCATTAAAAGTATAA